GCTGAAATTCGAAGCGTGTATACCGGGCTTTAGCAGCATCTCCACCCTTTCTAGAAGTTTCCATTCCTAATTTTTCCACCTTCCATTTCCTGCTGTGAAGTGTTCCGTGCTTAGACCATCTTTTATTTATTTCACTGTTAGTTCTTGAACTTTTAAAGTTATTCATTTGCGTTTCAGGGTGTGAAATATTTCTTGGAAATTCCTGCTAACATTTTGCGCTAAATGAAAGCCAATATTGCAAATTCTGTTTATTTTGTGGCCCTTTCAACATGAATTAAAAGGAAAGCAAAGCCAGCTGTTTTGCAAGTGAATCTTTCCAGCTCAGCTTATACAGTTATCAGACAGTGGGGTGAAGCCCTATTGGTAGGCGCACAGTGCCAGCTGCCATTTTGTAATCTTTAAACACACACAGGCAGCCATGGCACTGCTTCTGCTTAGCTGTAATACTAGAGTTGCTCACCATAGCCTGCACTTGGTACATTTAGTTTGCTACATCTGTCTTTTGTCAGAGCTTCGGCTCTTTATACCTTTTAAAGCTGAACACCAGGCACAAACACTTTCATTTAAATATATTCCTTTATAACCACAAAGGATATACATCCACTTTGTGTGCATCAAATGCCTTTGCAAACCTGGTTATTACCTTAAGTAACAGTGATATCATCACTGTGCTGTATATAACATATATGCAGAGAGCAGAACTCTGGGAGGAACCCAGTAGAACCCTTCCTGTACCGGCTGCCTGTAGAAAACTACAGGAGGGGGCAGAGACAAGACCAGTCACCCTGCACAAAGAGAGAGCATCAGTGGCCAGTCTTTATTACAGGAAACTCCCTACTAAGCTCTGCATAGTGGGTCTGCTTCCTCCTGATTTCCAAGTGTTGGTTCTCTTCCCTCCTGATTTCCAAGTGTTGGTTCTCTTTCCTCCTGATTTCCAAGTGTTGGTTCTCTTCCCTCCTGAGCCCCAAGTGTTGGTTCTCTTCCCTCCTGAGCCCCAAGTGTTGGTTCTCTTCCCTCCTGAGCCCCAAGTGTTGGTTCTCTTCCCTCCTGCGCTCCAAGTGTTGGTTCTCTTCCCTCCTGAGCTCCAAGTGTTGGTTCTCTTCCCTCCTGAGCTCCAAGTGTTTGTTCTCTTCACTCCTGAGCTCCAGGTGGTGGGTCTCTTCCCTCCTGAGCTCCAGGAGGTGGGTCTCCTCCATTTCAGGTGGTGGGTCTCTTCTCCCCTGAGCTCCTGGTGGTGGGTCTCTTCCCTCCTCAGCTCCAGGTGGTGGGTCTCTTCCCTACTGAGCTCCAAGTGGTGGGTCTCTTCCCTCTTGAGCTCCAAGTAGTGGGTCTCTTCCCTCCTGAGCTCCAGGTGGTGGGTCTCTTCCCTCCTGAGCTCCAGGTGGTGGGTCTCTTCCCTCCTGAGCTCCAGGTGGTGGGTCTCTTCCCTCCTGAGCTCCAGGTGGTGGGTCTCTTCCCTCCTGAGCTCCAGGTGGTGGGTCTCTTCCCTCCTGAGCTCCAGGTGGTGGGTCTCTTCCCTCCTGAGCTCCAGGTGGTGGGTCTCTTCCCTCCTGAGCTCCAGGTGGTGGGTCTCTTCCCTCCTGAGCTCCAGGTGGTGGGTCTCTTCCCTCCTGAGCTCCAGGTGGTGGGTCTCTTCCCTCCTGAGCTCCAGGTGGTGGGTCTCTTCCCTCCTGAGCTCCAGGTGGTGGGTCTCTTCCCTCCTGAGCTCCAGGTGGTGGGTCTCTTCCCTCCTGAGCTCCAGGTGGTGGGTCTCTTCCCTCCTGAGCTCCAGGTGGTGGGTCTCTTCCCTCCTGA